TTTTAATAAAATTTTAGTGGATATAAATAATTATCCACGCTCTGATATTTTTTGCCAAATTTAATAAATTTTTCATTAATGTTAATAATTAAACACGCTCTGATATTGTGTACCAAATTTAATTAGATTTTCATTAATGTTAATAATTAACCACGCTCTGATATTGTTTACCAAATTTAATAGAATTTTCATTAATATAAATACTTATATTTTACCAAATTTTATATGATTTTACCAATTTTAATTTTTTTCAACCATTGTTACTATATTTTTTAATTTTTCAAACATAATTTAAAAAATTACCTTCCACGTTCCGTCTGGTTTCTGCATCTTCTGCAAAAACAACCAAAAAGGTTAAAATATGGTTTAAAAAACCAAATTTAGCCAGCATGTTCCTCTCTTCTGGTACCACCGTATGTAGAGGAACATACTGGCGGAGAAGACGACCCCCTAACCAACAGGGCAGGGGGAGTGGTACCAGGAACCCCACCCTCCCCAAATACTACAAAAAAGGATACATACCATGAATTCCTTGGGCGGGTGGGGTAGTATCCGGTGGTGGTGGTGATGATGATGATGATGATGACGACGACATGGTCGAAAGAAGGGGTGGCGGTGGTGGCGGGGGCGAAAGTGGGGGTGGTGGTACTGGTGGCTGATCCGTGTGGGAGGAGTAAGACTCCATGATGCACAGTTTTTTTTATTAATTTATAAAAAACTCACACTTTTTTATTGCTTTAAAAAAAACTGGAGAATTTGGAAAACAAACCAACTCGTGTGAAGATGAAAATCATCTGAACACGAGGTGGTTGAAAACCCGGGGTAACAAATTAAAAGATGCCACCAGCATCTTTATTTAATATATGTTGCATATGAATGCATTACATATTACATTAAATGAGATGCTCGTTGGTAAGAAAATGTTCACCATAAAATGTTTGTCAGAGAGAGACAAAGACTGGTGAGTTTCATACGCCATCATGAAAAATGGAATCAGGGAAAGTTGTACACATCCAGTGGAATGCATCTGTATGTATTTGTACATGTGTAGCGCTGAGGTCTAGCGCAAAGATTTCCTTTTTGTGAAAAGTTGAAAAGAAGCAAATTCCCGTAACTGTGGGTTTATCATATCCCATCTAGTTTCCTCCATTTTATTATTTGGCCTCAATTTTCAGTAAAAAACGATGCCCTTTTTAATTCATTGAATTACTTTTCCTTTAGCTTATCATATATTTAAATCAAATTATGCCACTCATAACCTTACAATGTAAGTTCATATCTATATACATACGCATATACATACATAGGTATATACATATTATGTAACTCCATATTATGTATATTGATACATATGTACATAGAATGCATTTATTCTAATTGTCCATCTTGTTGGGAAAATGGGGGAAAAATATTAATAACTGAATTTATGGTGTACAGGACACTGCAATAGGATAATCGGATGTACATGAACAAGCATATTGTACATAGATACTTATGTACCTATGTACAAGCCGCGTATATGTGCATATATTTAGCCTACTTATATGTTTGATATTTTATTCTTCGTTTTGGATATTCTTTTATGTTGTAAGTACACAAAGTCAAAAGTCAAATAATTAGTTGACATTTCCCAATAAATTTTAAGCTACATAAGATTACTCAAAAGCTTTAGCACACACGTTTAATTATGTAAATATCAAACCACGCAAATTTTTATGATCATCCCAAAACAAGAATTTTTTATTGACGGTATAAACAGTAAGCTTAGTTTAATAGTTGTCCTATCATCCGAGTAAAAGCTTATTTCCTAACGATGAAACCAAATAAACAACAATTAACGGAAGCAGGTTCCTAACTATAAATTGGACCAAAAGTACCACCAAAAATACCGCCAAAATTCCCCCCTGAAATACGAACAAGCAAACAATAACGCTCCACATATTTGTATCCAGTTTCACTCCGGCATGTCCCGTCGTCAGCGACCTTCCTTTCGCATCACGCACCAGGTCGAACCACTCACTGCGATTCTGATACCATAAAATTTTCTCCAAAAATCCAAACTGCGCCACGTCCTGCACCCTCTTCTGCACCGAGGGGTCCACAACATGCGATATTTTCCACCCTTGCAACTGCGTAAAAATATTCTGTTGTCCCAACGAAAAACTAAATTTTTTGGCGTCATAAAAGTCCTCTAGTTTCTTCCGGATTAAGTAAAGCTCATTGAGCCAACCCATCACGGCCATTTTTGGACATTTTTCTTCATCTTTCCTCCGTAATTTCAAAACATTTTCGAGCGATATGAACCATTCTAAATTTTTGTTAGCGAAACTAATCTTCGCAATGATTTCGTTGTATTCTTCCGGCGCTATTTCCGACACGTACGTTTGACTCGGTCCTAGTCGGTTGTTCAAAATGTAGCCAAATTCCGACCCACCTTCGACACCTCCTCCGTTGAGGAATTGGAGGGTTATAAGTCTAGAATAAAATGTGTACCCGCCTTTGTACAACTCATCAAACTTTTGGAACGGCTTATCTGCCGGGGGAGCAATAATGTTGCCCACGTTGTCCCCTTTGAATGCGTTTTTTAGGACAATCGTCACCATAAAAAAGGGGAAGAGGAGGGCCATCATTTTGATATTTTTGAAGTTTTCGCTTGACAAAGACGTTACGCCCTGTTCTAACTGGAGCTGAAATCCAGTAAGGAGAAGGGGCAGGAAATTTTTGGGAAGAATTGATGCCCCAGTTTTTACCCTTGCCACAAGCAAAATTCCCACGATAAGATTAAAAGTGACGAGCAAAATCCAAGTCGTGGGGTCAAAAGCGAGGGAAAAGAAGCCGAACAGATTTTTCTTTTTGACCACTTTTCCACACGAGGTGAAGCTGTACTTTTTAACCTCAGTCACAAAACTGTAACCAAACATGGAGGTCGTTATTACATTTGGGAAAACGGTGTCCGTTCTGTCAAATTGGGTTTTCGAAAGCTTAGTTGATGGATCTCTGTAGAGATAAAGTTCTTCCCGGATCCATTCAACCTCCCAATGTCGCCATCCGTAATGGTTATAAATAATCCCCCCGCTATTGTTGAGTCCGTCGGTAACGATGTCCAGTAAAAGATCCGTTCCTGACACGCCTGACCTTTCAGATAAGTCTGATAAACGTGTCCTCTTGATCACATCGTGGGCAGCTTGTGGACCTTTATGCATTTTGTGTAAGACGAATATTGGGACCACGTAGTTATTACGGTTCGTGATTTGTATGAAATTTACGATTTCTTCGAGTTGTAAGGCTTTGAAATTCGGAAACTTGACAAAGGTGCGAAATCGACAGCAAATGAGTAACTCTGTTATTTTTACCTTCATTGGAACGCCCTCGGTTTTTGCGAGCATAATTTCAAGCAATTCGTTCCTTCTGAGCAGCCGGTTGAAGAAGATGTTCCACTTGGTAATAAAATCATTTGCGTTAATTGTTGGTTTGATAATTAGGACATGATAACCTGGACGTGGAAAGCAATTCAGATTATAATTGGTGTCGATCGGGGTGGAAAATTCCTCCTCTGCGACGTAAATTGGAGGCCAGGTGACTACGGGAAATATGTAAAATCTTGCCAAACAAGTCCAACCTCTTTGTTGGCGGGTTATTCGTAATTTGTACTCTCTCGAGGTGGTCTCCGTCTTCATTTGAGTGGCGTTCAGTCGCTCGGAAAAGTTTCGGAAACGGTTTGAACTGTGGATATTGACAAAATAGTGTCTTGTTGGATTCCTGCTGCTGTGTCCGGGTGGTTGGAGGACTTCATGCCTGGACAGAATGATCGGATAGGGGACGGGAGGAATTGAAATGGTCTGGTAATTTATTAGGTGGAGGACGCAGGTTTGAAAGGTGGACAGGTACAGGGGGAGGTTTGATACTTCCGTGTTCAAGTAGGGGTTAGCTTGAGGTGTCATTTTTACTTTTTTGGGGGTAGATTTTAATAAATTTTTACACTTTGAATTTGCAATTGACTAAGAAACGGAGTCAATTTATATGATTTACATAATTCACACTAAAATAACTTCTTATGTATATGCAAATAGTAAATGTGTTCCAAAATTGTAGTATAGTTTTGCAAATCTAGCACCTTCTTCTAGTTAGATGTTGGTTGTTCATGAATATTTTTTGCTCATTTTCATGTCCCAGATATAAGTTTGGTATGCAAGACACAAATCGATGATACTTGAGGGGATGAAATGTGTAACAAAATTAAATATTTATGTTTACGTGTTATCATTATTGAAATGAATTGTACTAAATTGAATTTAAAATGAGCATACATAGTCATCCTATATATTTCACAAGACAAAGTCATTTAGCAAAATGGTTTGTGAAATACTCTGGCGAAATAAGTCATGCCCATTTCCTGGCTTAACTTGCGAAAAAAATTTGCTTTCCAGCAAAAAAAAATCGCAAAACTTCGCAATGTGTAAATATATCTATCTGTATGTGCCTATGCTCAATTTTTGCGAGATTTGAGAGCTATCCGAATATTATTGTTACTATTTACGCCCAGTATTGCGTGCATTAATAGATTAATTAATCTACAAATGTATGTATACAAATATACTAAATATGTACACGCTCATAAAATTCACTCCAGTGAAAAACATTTAAAGCAGCAAAAACTCGTACTATACATGCCCTCGGTAACCTTATAATCTAGTTAATCTCACTACTATGTAAATACATTGATTTGAAAAACGATTATCCTCGCCGTGTTGAAGCATCTTTCACACCTTTCGCATATGCGAATCTGTCCGCTTCGCCACTGATTTATGAATCTCATAAAAATAAGTGAATCAGTGATTATTGTACATATCCATAGCTTTGCGGTCTGCATGTTTAATTTTGGTACGCATATTTAGATACAGTTTTGCACACGGGCAGTGATAATAAAGGGTACATGCATATCTCCACATGCCAGATTAAAACACCTCCAATTCCAATATCGCAGCCAACCTTGTAATCAGTTCAACCAATTCATTCCACACAAACACATTTCAGTTTCCAGGCTGGTCTGGTTAAACAAATTTTCTTATATAAGGCTGCAAATAGTGTTACAAGTTTACAAAGGTTATGTACTTGGCAAAAAGTTTGACCTTGTCAGAGCCAGTTAGATAAACATGTACAATATAGCGGAGCACAATGGTGCATATTTTAAGAAATTATAAAATATTGGAATTTGTACTCCCAATGACCTCAAGTGCGCGTACAATAAAAAATTCATAATAAATTCACACCTGCCACGCGGTTTTTCATACGTATTTAGTTGTAAAAATTCTGCACGAAGTATTCACAGTGTATCGAGTATAAATTATTATTTCTAATTTATTTGGTAATCAAACTAAAAATCTTGATAATTTCGAGACTCTATTTCTGAAAACAAGATTCCTTTGACACAAATTTCTCCCAACAATGTCCACACGTGGAGAAAACTATCATAACTTGTCAAGCCATCAAGTCCTAACTAATCCAATAGTAAGTATGAATAAAGTCAAAATATTTCTATTTAGATACATACATATTTTTTGTCACCACAAATTACTCAATTTTCTCTCCAGCTTCTACGCATCATCTTTCAAAATTGCTTATTCTCTGGGAAACATCTCCGTCTCGTGTGCCAATTATGGAACAATGTCCTCCTGTCACTCCCAGAATCCAAATTGTATCTCTGTCGGGAGCCCGTGGAACACGGCCGGACTGAAAATTACCATTACGACGACTCGCCCAATTTCCAACTCCTCTGTCTCACCATGGAGTCTCGACTCGCGAGAAGCATCGTGTTCAACGAAGACATCCACATCCAGCGAAACGTTCCAAATTCATACGTCCCACTAACCGCCACTGCCTCGAAATTTATCCACTTTTGCGACAAGTTTAGCAAACATATTGAGCGAATTAGAATCGCTCCTGTCAGAAACTTGGAAATTTTTCCAAATCAGGAATACGTCTTGTTCTCAACCTTATCCAGGTGTTGTCCCAACTTGAAATCGATCTATTTAAACTTGGAAACTTTCGAGAAGCATTGTTCTCTTGGGAGTAAGAGGTCAACTTCACCTCAATTTTTAGGCTGTCAACCCCTTCACCGTCCCAACTTGACCAACATCACTGTAATGTGTGACCCATACGTCAAAAATCCTTGCGCCCTGACACAACTTCTGGTTTCGTCTGCGCCAAATTTGGCAAATCTTTTCTTATCGTGCAATAACTTCCCGGCCTTGGACACCTGTAAGAGCTTGCAATCATTGGAAATTTATTGTCACAACGGTATTGCGAGGACATTGGTGAATTTTGTCCAACTGGAAATGATGTTGTCACACGTTGCCCCGAACCTTGTGTCGCTCTCCTTTACGAGACCAGAATGCAGTGACGACTTCTCGGATAACTTTTGCTACTCGACAGGAATTTCGTCTTTGAAGAAAAATTCCTTTAAAATACCACGGATGCCGAACCTTGTAGAATTTAGGAACGAATTGATCGATGTTTTTCCATGTGGAGAGAGTCTGGAAGACATTTCTGCCATGCGCATGCCGTCCCTGAAAAAGCTAACGTTTCATAACAGCCACGTGGAAGAGAGAGACAAGTGCGTGGACGATCTCCTGGCAAATGTGGTCACTCGGAAGGATTATTTTTCATGGGAGGGGATAGGAGTTACCAATTTGAAGACGTCGGAGATTAGAAATCCGAAATATATATCAATGCTAAAAACGCCATTTCCACATTTGACAAAGTTGGTGGTGGATTCTGACAGATTAAAGTTTGAAGAAACGATGCAAGCTTGTGCATCGTTGGGATTAGTGCAGCTAAAATTAAGTATTCAACATGCAGATAAATTGTCAGATTTGATCCGAATTTTTGCAAATAATTCTACTACATTGTTTAGAAGTAAGTTTAATTTTGTAATTTTTATTATCTCAAATGTTCGTAAGCCGGTTAACTTTGTAGAATTTTGTAAACTTTGCAACTTTTTTTAACAACTTTTGGAAATACTTATTTAGTAAATACTAGACATGCACCGAGTACCGAAAAAGTCGACTCGGCCGAGCACCGAGTACTCGGCTATATTTTTGCCGAGTACTCGTTTCTGCTCGTTTGCCGAGCACCGAGCTAGTCTCGGCAATCGAGTACCGAGCAAAGCTCGGCCACCGAGTAAATTGTCAAAAAGATCATCAAAAAAATCATTGTTTACATAATATTTAATTACCAGTACCTCTATTTTGAGAACTGATGGACGGAATCACGTGAAGCTACTGATTATTCTTCCTGTTCCAACATTTCGATTAAAGTTGATTACCGGATAGAATTAACAAATTTCACGGGTTTATTTTTGAAGTAAGTTTGACTTTGATTGCAAAAATCACATGATGGATAATTTGAACTGCGCGCTGTAACTACCGGATAAAGTGACACTGGATGCATATAAAAATTTAAGAAATACTCGGCCGAGCACGCAAAAAAACTCGGCCGAGTCCGAGTAGTGAGAACACGGCCAAAACCTGCCGAGTACTCGGTGCATGTCTAGTAAATACTTTCATATAATTTACAAAATTCAGAAAATTTTAACTCAATACGGTTTTTAAATGCTAAACAATGTAGGCATTATTAATTTCATTAATTTTCGTTGAATAACAATTTTTTCAGGTCTGAAAATATTGAAGTTATCCTGCCCAATGTGCTGTGTAGAAACGATGGATGACTTGAACGCTGATGGATTGGCCCGACTCAAACAAATTCTGATAATCATGGCTACCATACCTGTGGTAAAAGTTAGTCATATAAACGTAAGCATGCAATTAATTTAGGATATATACTTTTATATGGTACGAACATCATAACTTTGGATTACACTTGATTAAGTTATGCACATGAACTTTCTCACTTCGCTATGTAAGTATGCCTACATTTATATTGAATTCTTCCTGTTCTTAGTTTTCAGAGAAAACAAAACGGAGGATCCAACTTTGGAGGAATATCGAAAATATTCCAGTTTTTTGTGACGGAGAAACTTTAAAAGTTAAGAAGACTTCAGCAATCCGGAAATGATGTACATAGTTTTTCATTTCAGGGCGATGCGCTTTTACATTCCAAATTTTTTATGATAATCATTAAATTAAAGATATTGTTTGTGTTCATAATTTCGAGACGAAATTGTATTTTATTTCCATTTTTAATTAGGAAAGTTTCATTAAAACTACGTACACTACAAATTACGTACATAAGTATGTAGGTATACACACATTTAGACAAAAAACACATTGATGTAGCTATGTTGTAAATATTGGGAGTTAATCCAGCACACGGAAACATTTTAAAATTATACCTAAACTATCCGTATTCAATATTCGATTGATAAAGCTCATTCGAAAATAAAATATTTATACCTGCGTATATTTTCTAATCTAAATAGACATCATAGTAGTATTAGTAAATTAAATAGTCACAATCAAGTCAATAGTTAACTCTATTTATCGATCCATAAGTATACAGTGCGAAAAATATGGGCTAAAAACCTAGTATTTTACGTATTTGTAAGTGAATGTAAATCAATTGATTATATAAAAGTAAAACGTAAGTACTCTAGAATTTTTCTGAACAATCAATAAGTCACCAAAGTAATTTAAATTATTTCAAAGTTAACAAAGCCCTAAACATACCTTGAACAATGCCCTGATTAAATTTCACAACTGTGTCTCCCTTAACCTCAAATATCGCAGGAATTCCGATAAATACCGGTTTGCAAGATTTCTTAAACGCTTTAAAACTCGCCTTCTCTATTTTCCCCTCCCACTTTGCATTCCTCCATGACCCTATGACCCTTTTACTTTGGCTGTGCACGAATCCACAACAAGTTATAAACCCGCTCCACACAACTGCCACCATTGGAACGCATCCCCCCAAAATGAAAATACTCACACCATCCACGGACATCCCTTCTGTTCTGAACTCCGTTACGAGCAGGTACCCGCCCACGACGACAAATTTCCCCAGGGTAAATTGCGACGGAAGGATACACCACCCGTAAACCTGGTTCGTTAGCTTAACCAGCAGTTGGTACGATCTGTACAAGTGCGTCACGGCTGAAAGAGAGCGTAAAGTTGCCATCTTTTTGTTAGAATTTTTCGGAAATTTTATCCCCCCAACGATCGGGGCCAATAGGAAAATGGAGCACATTCCTATCAACACCAATATCTGGAGAAAAAACGCGATAAACAAGACCCAAAATGCGGTTGCAACTGCGTACGGAATCAGCAAAAGTTTGAACATGGTTGACCCTGAGGGGAAAATGCTGACGACGTGGATAGGATTTCTTGACGCGAAGACGATATGAAGAAGTGCTATTGCAGGAGAGACGACAGGAACTAAAAGCGAGACATAAAACGTGACGGTCCAATACTTATCAAAACAAAGCAGCTGTGCGTCACTTTCCTTCCGGGAAAGGTAACGATCTTGAACAGCTTGTCGGAAACGTAGGACCGAATTGAATTGTCTCGCTGCTTCGTATGGAGTGAAGGCAAACACGGCAATTGAGAAGGAAACGTAGAACACGCCGTAAAGAACAGGAACTAAAAAGTTCAGCTGGGACGAATCGTTCGCCAGTTTAAATCGAATTACTTGTACTAGCAGAAACAAAAATTGGAGCAGAATTACGAAAAACATGAGAGAAGTGTTGGAAGCAAAATGTGGTGAGACGGACAGCGTAGACTTCTCGTAGATGAAGGGATGCCCAAAAAATGTGGACAAATGGACGACTTGTCCAAAGTTTTTGGAAAATTGTGTCGTCACCATGTCGACTTTGGTACTGCTATGTCTGGGGAAAGTATTGGAGTTTTTATCAAAAATAGGAATGAAAAGACGTATTTACCTACGTATCTGCGTAAGTAGAAGTTATATATAAATGTAATATGTGTGTACCTACATATGTATAAAACAAGTCCATAAGAACCTGTCCAATCCAATTAGAATTATCTACCAACCCAAAACTAACTTGGTTACTATTGGATTTAGATTATTGATTACATTACTGGTAAATATATTTGCTTCGACTGAATTCCTTCCCCGTCAGAAGCTTAATGTAATTTAAGCTATTAAAAATACATAAATATGTACTTAAATTATGAAAACACGATAAAGAGGAGCTTATAATGAAGGACAATTAAAGCCGTAGTTTAGGGTCACAAATTAACGACAGGAAGTTAGTAATGTACGAGGAGAAATTTGTACATCAATTTTGGCTTATCGGATTGGAACACTGACCGGATATGCATGTTATTAAAAATGTCGGGCAATAGCTTTTAATTTTTCGAAAAGCATTAAGTAGTTGTTTTTCTAGATTTCTAGATATGGGCCGGACCTTAGTTTTACGGTACGAAATGTTACGAATGATTAATAAAGGGCATCAAAAACATTTTAAAAACTCGTATAACCTCGACTGACTACGTTTACTGTTTATGTATAACATTTAGATAATTCCTAAAAAAATTCAGACTTTGATAATTTATATATTCAGGCTAATGAAGGATTAGGATTAAGAAACCAAGGCCGTCACCAAAGGATGGAAGCAACAGATATAATACATTTACACTGGCGAAATCGAAGCGAATAAAATTCTGCATTAAATATGTATGCTACAACATTGCAAAACTTTGACATGTTATTTCCGACATTGGATGAACACGAAGAAAGTAGATGCATTCGGCAGAGTGCACACCATTTACTTTTCATGCACCACTTGCATGAAGAAATGTCTCAAAAAGCAATCGCTGAAAATGTCATTAATTGGGCTCTATGAAAGCTTTAGCAATAATATCATCATTCCCAATTTTACATGCAGATAATTATTATGCGTCATCAGATATGTAAATTTCCTTTATTGGCATTATTGTCATATTGTCATTATTGTCATCATGTCTTACGAAAAATGCCAATGAACGTCAAGTGACCACCAATGGAATGATAGCTCACGGCGAGCGCTCTGGTGGTGGATGTTGGAACTAGGCCGGCATGGGAACCTCGTCTCGTGCCAATCTCAGCAAGCAAGTCGAGTTCATTTACTCACTTCTTTTCCTTCCTCCCAGTCAACCAGCAAGCAAGCAAGAAACGAAGAATTCACTTTTTGAATATTTCTTCATTATTCTTAGTGAAAGAATATTCATCATCATCCACAATGGAGTTAGATGACATGTCATTCGGCGTTCAAGAGGTCACAGTCATTTCAGAAAATGGAGCTGGATTTGGAGCAGGATCGGAAGTTAGGTTGGGTAAGTGGAAAGTGTTTTGCCTCTTTTGCGTTCTGTCATGATCATCATCATCAGTGATGATTCATCACCCACTAGCATAGCATCATTCATTTACTCTGTTCACGGGAAGAACTATTTCAGCAAATGACATTCTGGCACATAACTTTTTTTGCCGATTCATTCATTCATTCATTCATTCATTCATTCATTCATATCTACATTTGAGTCAAATGTATTGACATGCGTTAAATTTGTTTATTTGGGAAATCCTTTTTGCACTCTTGGGGTTCGAACGTCATACACACACGAATTATGTAAAGTAGGATATCGCAGATTTGGAGACGGGAGCTTAATTAAATAAATATTGATAGATCTACTTACTTTTTAATGCAGACATACTGTCTGAATTGGATGATGTCGTGAATAATATTATTGCAAGCGTAACAAGTCCACCGAGCAAAAAATTGAAAGAAACCGAGGAAGTAGGAATGGAAATTGACCAGAATGTAGAGGAAGAATTACTCTGCTCGGAAGAGAAGCAGGCGATGATGCACCAGGTCCGAAGGATGAGTCGGAAGGATCTCGAAGACTTGGTTTTGACCAAAACCGTCGAAGCCATTTCAAAGCACTCGGAAGTTGGGAAATACAGAACAAAGATATTGGAATTTGAGCTACACAAGGAAAAACTGCAGAACAAAGTGGTGCAGCTTTTAACTCAGGTATAGTTTATGAACTTGGTGATTTTTTGGGACGATTAGAGATTAATACGTAGCGTTCTTGCTCCCATTTTCTGATTGATTATCATTGTATTTATCTCCCTCCCTATTTAGATCAATCAAATCGGAAGATGTGTAAAGACGCTATTAGATAATCGAGACCCAAACAATTTGAATCCGGATAAGAAACCGCCACCACCAATCCGGTATTGCCGTTCAGTTGGATTGCAAGTCACGATCGAACCTTCTGTAAGGAACGAAATGTCGAAGGCCATCCATGTCAACCACGTTAACGGTGTCTTGGAAAATGGTGTTAAACTACTCAATGGAGCTATTCCTTTTAAGAAACCTGGGCCCAAGTCACTCACCCAACCCAGAGCTATTGATAATAATAACAACAATGTTCGCTCACAAACGGTGGCCAATCAAATGAATGGTCACCTCGTCCAAGCCAAAGCTGTCACCAGCATCACTGTACCATCAAGGTCTGTATCTTTACCCACAGTTGTCGACATATCTGAGTGCGGTTTTGTTCCGAGTCCCAGGCCAAGTGAGGATAATTCTGGTACGTGCATACCTTTTCGAACTTGCTTCATAAATGAAATTGTAGAATTAACATTGATATGACATCACTGATCTGTTGGGGGATCGGGATAATGGTAGAGGTACTTTACCTTCAATAATAACAAGCCCTCTCCTTTATCTTCGAAATGTTGAAGCCCCCAGATTCCTCCATCTTTTCTACGTATATATGATTCCATTGGTTTATGCATGAATTTAATGGCGTATTTTTAATCTTGGACCTCCTTCCTATAGGTTTGTTCAAATTGACAAATAATCGTGCTCCGGGAAGTCATCAGCTACTTCTGAATGGCCAAAGCAGACACACCCAAGTAGCTCCGACTGTGTCGACTGGGCATCGACTTGTGTCCGTCATCAGACCTGGACTGTATACCGAACCGATCCAGATCCAATCACGAGCACCAGTCGGACTCGAGCCACCAATCCGTCCGGCTGCCTTCATACCGCAGAGGCCACAAAATCGACAAGAAATTAATAGGCCAATGAGGGTTCATTTGGTGAGAAGCTATATTAAATTGTTACATTAAAATATATGATTGCAAATTAGCACAGAATTTTATCCGGTTTTTCATTAATTCATTTATTTATAGCATCCATGTTCAAAATATTTAATCAATATAAAATTACTACTTCCAAAAATCTAGAAAACGAGCTGCTTTTTAAAATTTCACCACGGGTTGTTTTCTTTGTGTTTGTAGCCATCTCTGCCACCGCCCCCAGTCGTTAATTTGCCTCACGGCAAAGTTATGAAGGAACTGCCCCCACGAACTATATTGACACCGAAAAAAGAACCAGAGGGGATCGTCCTCTCATGGAAAATGCCACTGATGCAAAGGCACGAAGAAATCGCATTGTATCAGATTTACGCCTGCCAAGAATCACTAGCTTCAGGAAGAACTTCGTGCTGGAAATTTGTGGGCGATGTGGATGCTCTTCCGTTACCAATGGCGTGCACTTTGTCTCAGGTATTTTAAAAACGTTTAATATGTGACCGCCTAATTTTTAAAAGTTATTAATTACACATTGAACCAGCCAACTAATATAATATACATTTCTAACTTTCAGTTTGCACATGGGCCAGGAAACCGATATTTCTTTATTGTTCGAGCCGTTGATAGATTTGGAAGGACTGGTGCATTTTGCGAACCTGGTCCAATTACTGTATAAAAGAATAAGTAATTAATTCTCACATTTAATTTGTAACCTTAGATTGTTGAAAAAAGGATGAATGTCTTTGTCTCTGTTAGCATGGGCGATAAGCTGAAAAATTGTAAAGTAAATTTGTTAAAAATGCGTATGTGTACAAACTCCAGACTTAACTTTGTTACTTAAGCACTCATTTTTTTTAATAAGAGCCAAGATTACTCGTTTTTTGTTCAAAGTTAAATAAAGCATTGAGCTGATATTACATATATGGTAAATAATCTACGTACTCCTACGTACGTATTTATTCTTCCGAAATAAGGTTTTTACAGAGAGCCGGTGCTTTTATGTACGCATTTGTCTCGATGTAAGTAAAACATTAAATCCACTTAAGCCCTCGTTGTTTTACAAAATGTTCAAGTTTTAGATAATACAGTTCAAACTTTCAACATGTGAACTTATCCTTATCTGAAGTGACTAAATGTCCCTGGTGACATTACAGCCATACTTATATCCCAATTTTGGAGGTGTGGAGAGGTGGGTGATGTCAGAGTGTCAACTTTTCAGTAAGGGTGACAAATATGCGATTTTGTTAGCTTCGTCTATGTCAGATTGCATTTCATTGATTTTTGTCCCATTTCTTCCTTTGAACTTATCTTTATTGCTTCAATGACAACAAAGTTATCGTAATCTGAGCATGTTTCCCACTCCACTCCACTCCGCTCTTTCATTTTTTCTCTGAACTTTGTTGGTGTCATTTGATTACAAGGAAAACATACTGGAAATTCCGTGAGTCACCGTGATCAAGTTTCTTGTACGTGCTGAAAGGTTAGAAAATGGGAAATGGTTATCAGGCTGGATTACGTGTAAAATCTGGGAAGAAATAGAACTACGAGATATTAAAGTTTAAAGTACATAAAAAGCTTATGGGAAAATTTGTGTGTTTATAGCAGAGAGTAGCATGTTTTCAATGCCCAGCCCGAATTTCTTGGGCAATAAAATGCCCAGCCCAGCCCATGTCTCTGATGCCCGCCCGGCCCATGCCCACGTGGGCTGGGCTGGGCAGGGCATGCCCGAAAAACTTGGGCTGCCTGCTACACTCTGGTTTATAGATAACACAAGTCAATTACTGGAAATAGACTACAATACAATTTCTTAGTAAATAATATTTCCACCTTGAAATCCATGCAAACAAACGTGCCACTAAATTTTGGTAGCCCAATCTCTACATTTTAATCTATTTTTGGCACTTTTCTAGTAAAATTTTTACCAAGTTTCTCTATCTCGGATGACATGGAATAATTTCCAATCCCACCACACAAGATCATAATCGTGACATCAAGCTGTAAACCCATTCTCCAACTGTCCTTACAACTTGACATTTTATTTTATCGCTTTATCACCCCACAAAATCGACAACTTTTCCAATTCCACCATGTCTACCAAAACTTTGACATTAAAATGGACCAACTTAATTCAAATCCTGTATGAAATTATGTGCCCACAAAACCATTAAATTTCAGCGTTCCGTCCAATAAATTGGTAACCTATCCATGGAAATATTATAACAAGTTCTACAAAGTTGTACCACTCGAGATGTTGGGAATGCATAACAATTCTTCCCTTGAAGAATGAGAGTTGACCAAATGAGGAAATATGAGAATAGTGGTAAATTGGGAGTGATTGATGTGTGGCTGGAGTTAAGGGTCTCCTTCACGTTGTGACAGCCTCTTAATTGGTGAATTGTCCTCGAAATGGGAGCCCTTCAAGTGCTTCATTGTTCAAGGAGGTACCCTGCCAGGAAAGGTGGGTAAATATATCAGATAAGAATTAATGTCGTACACACATGGCTCTGAATTCGTTCGATTGGACTTTACGAAAAATGTGTGGATAAATTTGAATAAATTTTGAAATAATATTTACCCAGATTTCTGATTACAAAATTTAAAATTATCGAAACAAAATTGAGTATTTCCACAAAATACACACGTTTTATAAATACTTTCCTACAATAGCGATAGCATACTGGAAATAAGTACATTTATTTCAATTCCACCCAAAATTTTTAACTGTTCTAACTCAAATATTTCCAAAACCTTGCAACTTGTACATATTTCTATCTTATATGGAACTACTTAATGTGAGACGCCTTGATAAAAATCTCTTAAAACTAGTATTGATCAGCAGGGGCCTTTTTCTAGCTTCTTCTTCATTCTTAACGAAGGCGAAGGAAATATTAAAGATCCAAACTAGCAGAACGGTTTGATAAATATGAAACAAACTTTTAAAGCATCGCCTCATTTATTCCACTTCATGAAAGCTTATTCTCTGTTGGACAAGTTTGTGGGGCAGGCCAACCAAATGCGTCACTTGTGACCGTTTAAAACCTTTCGTTTTGGTTGAACAAATGTGAAATTAATTTAACAACGTGACCCAGATTTACATACGTAACAGTCATTTTCCCCACAACATTTTATTAAATTTTGAGAATCGACACATTAACAAAATCAAATATAAGACCACTCTTTTGTTCGCTTTTAACTTATAGGTTTGTGTTAAAAGCTCGAATCTGTTCCATCTTCTGAAGATGAAACTGGATCCATTGGCGTGGAAGGATTGACATGGACAAACAACTGGAGATCTGAACTCGGTCACTTCATCTCCCTTTAGTTTTAAATAAAATCGAGCCAGTCCAGAAATACATTATGTGAAGATTGACAGTCGAGTTCCTTCCAGTCTGGTTGGAGAGCTGTATTTACAGATGAAGGGAGCACTTTTACATAAGAACTCGGACTCCGGGAGGTCTCCAAAATATTTTGGTCCTGACAATGACGAAGCAAGGAAATGTGTTCTTCTTATGAAGCAAGCATGTCAAAGTCAACACGGAAAAATTCCTGTCCAAAACACACACACCTTTTCTCCTTGCTTCATTTACTTTGGTTTCCTTGGTTCAAGACGAACCTCAACATTTACGACGTGGACTAGTCACCCGAAGGATTTTATCTTTCGCGAAGGGAGAGAATGCACAATTTCGTCATAATGACAATTCCCATTAGGAGGAAACTTCCTTTTACTAATCCTAAGTAATCATCACAATGTGGAAGGTTTGTTGCGTAACCTGTCCATTTAATTGTATTCCTTCGGGTCAAAGTTGAAGCCATTAAATTATTACAATTCTGAGACGTTAAAGGTGTCATCCCTACTTTTGAGTCGGTTCTATTTTAATTCATGAACTCTTGTTATCCTGGAGAGTGATGAATCGTATTTTCATTCTGTACAGATTCTGAGGATGAGCTGTGTACATATTTATGTACATGGTCGTCGTCGGGTTGACTCAACTTTGCTGTGTCCTCCTGGTGCGATATTCTCCATTGTTATGTAACCTATGTATTTATGATGTGGTGCGTGGACTGTGATGGGAGAATTGTGCAGTGGATTTTCCTCGTTGGGGAGGATGGAGCGAGGTTCATGAGACCAGTTTTCGAAACCAACTTCTCCCCAGTTCAACTCCAGACGTGGATTGAATCAGAACCCCGTTGCGTCTCTTATCTCGGAAAGATTTAACAAGCCTACTTGAGATCGGCTACTGACGTGTTTTTGGAAGGATTTGAGTGGATGGATTTTTTGGATTTTAAAATTAGAAAACTTTATTGGAACAGCTTGTGAAAATTTGTACATAGTTTTCAATCTTGGTAGAGTTATTTGTAAGTGACTCTTGTGCCGTTTACGAGGAAATGTGCAATTGTATTAGTTTTGTTACCTTGTAGAAGGTATTTGTAAGACGGATTTTGTAATTGTGAAATAATCAGAAATTATTATACGATTTCCAACTTCCATGCACAAAATGGCTTCTGTAATTAATAAATACTACTAGAGGATAATAACTGTCAAATAGATCTATGTAATTATTCATGTACCAGAATTGGACCCCAGCTTGTGTAATTGCTGGAATTGTGCAAATTTTAGATACCAATTTTATAGCAAGCGTGCAAATTTAACAGTGCGAAATACCATACGTGGATACTCTTGACTATGGAATAAGGATTGTTATCAAACTATTTCTGGAAAAGTATAGGTAAGTCGTCTTTCATTCTAATATTACAATATTCGCCTGCATACATGCACAAGTCTGCACATTTTATGACATTTTACATTTATTTTTACATTAACTGCACAATTGGACAGATGTACAGACAACTGTGCAAGCATATCGCGTCTCGTCTCGTACGTATGTATTCTTCTCGTATTTACGACATGTACCAATATGACTACCCATTTACATATGCTTCAGAAATTATGACCTCCCAGATACACAGCTTTAACTACTTCCTGTATGTTTGCATTGTTCCTTCTTTTATCGTCTACTTATCTTAAAATTAGTGATCTCCATGCATGAGTATCTTACCAAAACTGGGGTTAACTGGAACAATAACATTGATCTTGTCATTGTCAATCAATTTCGCCATGCGTAGCACTAAATCAAATCAATTTAAACCAGGTTGAACAACAGAAATCTGTAATTTTACAACGATTTCTGCTCACTAGATTATTAAACAGCATAAAATTAGCTTTCCCAGCACATATCGATAAACATTATGAATTCAACCGTCATATAAAATTTGTCCCCCAAATTCTTGGGGTCTAAATCACTTCTAATTCAGAAATCCAATTTCATGCATGAAATGACATCCACTAACCCGTTCGCTGTAGGTGAAAGTCACTCACAATTTAATTTCTTCACTCGTACTCCTACGGACTTTAATCAACCAAACTCAAATTGGCTTTCTCAGAAAAAAAAAATTTCCCTGTACGAAATCTGATTTTCTCATCCACCCCAAAAAATGGCTCCGACTTCAGTAGCTGATCAATCGAGTTAGGAAGGTGCTTAATAGAATTGAAATCTTTTAATGGTGGGGTGAGAAATGTGATGTGATTGTACAAGTGACAGAAAATGAAATTTGTGCAATGGGAACTTTACAGTCGGTAAAGTGTGCTTTTATGTACACCAACAAATGAAACACGCGCACTTGTTGAGATTTCAAAGCAGAAAATTGAGTGACTTTACAACCGAATAAATGAAGAAACGGAATAGAAATCCAAGGGGAAATTTCTGGGTTTAAAAGCAATTTTAATTTCACATTCTTCAAATAAGCACTTATCAAGTTGGGTTTTTGTATAAAATTTCATGTTAAGAAAGACAAATAATTGTATTTCCATTCATTTGATTCACTCGGTAATGATTTTAATCTATGTATTTAACGTATTAGAATTTACATGATTCCAAAAACACGAACCGAATAGAAATGACCGAATTATTCACATCATGATAAAACAATGGGCAATTTGCGCTTAAGCAGGTTTTGTTTAATGGGGGGTTATTTTTTATGAGGTTGGATATGTACATACCTATTTATTTATGCATCTGGATAAACAATTGTCACATGAACAACATAACATCGTACACCACAAAATTAAGTAGTTCGCCTGTGTACGGTTACATAAATTATTGGTTTTGCTAGCATAATAATTTGCCAAAAATATTTTGGGCACGTTTCATTCGCGGAATTCTGTAATTTATTAGAAAATTATAACATTGTTAAACACATTAGAAATCTTTTAACATTGTCTTTCGCTAGAGATCCAAAATTTCAGTCTCAAATTCTGCATCTCCATAGCTAATCCGAAGTCATCATCTCATAACCACAACGAAAACGTTTCTACGGCCGTGGGAAATAGTGCAATTTAACTCCAGTTTATGTAACTGTCTTAAAAAGTCTGCAATGCATGCACAATTCTTTTATCAAGTCCAGTCCTGTCCGGAAAAATAAACCAAGACACAAACTCAGGCCGAAAAACCAGACGGTGAAAAAATAAGGAAATTTAATCCCATTTCTGTTTCATAAAGTGATTCATGCTCACTTTGTATGTTTTCCTTTGGACTCCGTGGGATGGTTTTGGTATAATACGGATCGAATCAAATATCACACCTTCACCTCAACATTATTACTGTTTGAATATGTGGTTTGGTTTTTATATTCATCTCATGTCATGCAGTGATTGTCGTATTACATTTCATTACCACTACTTGTTGTGACATGAATGGATTCATGTAATCATAACAAGCAACACGTATGCATGTGGGTTCAGCATAACTTTATAAATACGAATAAATCCCTTCTCATATTTCAATTTATTTCCCGAAAGTATTTGTAATGGTTGGTGGTACAAAAGAGTTTATGTACAAGAGTGTATGTAAGGTGTGACGTAATTTTATTCTCCTTTGGGTCACCACGACGAATATACGTATGAATGTACATATGTAGTAAAAACAATATATGTACCAGAAAGAAAAATGTCCCATTGTCCCTTAGAAGTCACCCTCATCAACCGTTCCTTATCAATTTCGTGTTCTTGGCGTGGCACAAATTACGGTTGGTTTACATTTTTTGTCACTTTTAGCCATTTACATGCACAAATAATTTTACATGACCAATGAAATTGCTCTTAGAAGTTACATATTTCTTAGAATTTTACACACCATCTTGCTCCTTTGTAGCCCTCCATCCAATAAAATCCAGTGTTCGATGCGTTTAAATTTTACGATTTTTGAGACTCGTCTTACTCCAGCAGCTTTAAATATCCCTGGATGTTCATACTCGCTGCACATTTGCATGTAAAAATATATCCTATAACATAATCCAGTCCATATTTTCTCTGTCCAATAATTACGCGGATGAGTATGTAGCCCACACACCTGCACAGATTCATGTCTCCTTATGACAAAGTTATCGGACTTGTTATGGTTATTTATGTGCATGCTGGACACCCATAAATCCCAAATTCCTCGTAACTACCACTCGATTCCAAGTTAACAAGTGGTTTCTAGTCTAAACGAGAGGTGAGAAAGTGAATTATGTATCAACAAGTACAAGTAATAAGCATTAAGCCCTCATCATCAACCTTCCTGCTTGTTGCTTAAACACAGCCACACACACAGAGCAATAAATACTCGCTCATTATTTAAATACAAGATGGAACAACGGACATTAAATCACGCACCCTTATGGTTCACATGTCCCTCAGGGAATATAATCTGTAAGGTGCATTTCTTACAATGTATGCATTTATGGGAGACGATTTCTCCGATTTTGACCAGACGGACTATGAAGAAAAAATGGCTATGACCAAAAAATAGGTCTATGAAATCTAAGATGCATATAGATATAAGCGTAAAAATACGGGCGAGCATATTTTTTCCTGTGAATAAATTACAATTGGTCAGGTCGAAATGGGAGAAAATCACTTCATGCACATTGTTACATGCACAATTATCTGTGCTGCGGGCAAGGAAGGATTTTCACCTGAAATATGACGATTCCATTAATGTGCATGCAGAACTTGCCAATATGGAAATTAATTCCGGATTAGTTTCGGTTAACAAGCTTTCCAAGCTTGCGTGTGCCTGGACTTTGAATAGATAATAATTGTGATGTATGTATGTGCATATGCAACTCTGATTGCGTGACACGTACAATTTTGTGTCGCAATTTTATACAATGCAAATTAGCAAGGTGGAAAATACTTTGGGACTGCATTAAGCTATATTATTAATTATGTAACTCATTTTAAAAAATTTATATAAAATTTAAAATTTTAAAATTCATACATTACTTGGTTTTGATAACATATTTAAGATTAACGCCAATACGAGCTTTAAAAGATGCTGAGTCAAGCTGCAAAAGTTTTTTTCAGCTAACTATGCAAAGATTTATGTAATTCAGTTTTCGTCACCTAATCGATTGCTTATAAACACATTGCGATGTTGGTACTTGAAAGGCGTAGATAATATGTATATAGAATATTGATGGGAAAATACATGTACGTGTACATAATATTGAATAGGGCGCATAGAAGTACGTGCTTCTTAAAGTAGTTGATTGTTATTTGACGGCGTCGTTGTTCTGAGCGAATTCCATTATGCTCAAATTTCACGAGCTGATGGTGGGTGTCGGGTGTCAAAACAGTTTTAGTCAACGTTCAATATTTGAAAGCATTCGAAAGCATCGTTCAGATTCCAACTGTGTTCTCCTACGTAACGCGATTTCCTGAGATTGAGACGAATCAACGTTCGCATTGGAGGAACGAAACAGTTATTATTGGTGGAAAATGTAAAGTCGACTTCAATTCCAATACGATTAGGTTAATGGATTCATCTTGTAAATAAATATGTATTTAAGCAATTTGATTCGTATTGACAAGCAAGTTTTTAAATTACCGGCATTAACATAAATGTGCTCAAATTTCGATGAAATTCGTAAATGTCAAAGAATAAAGTTTTTCCACTCACACACAATACAAACTTGTTTTTAATAGGACACAATTACACAAACTTTACCAAACAAGTACACAATTTGGCTTAATGCTGAAACTTTATATTTTGGTTATGTACAAAGTTTGCTTCAGGAATTGTTTGATGCAGTAAAGAAATACCAACTTTACTTTCTTGTGGGAGAAGTGACATCTGGAATCTCTTTAAAATATGTAAGACCCCCAAAAAGGCTGTTTCAGTTCAGACAGTAAAATTAAAATTTGCCACTGAATGGAAATGAATAAGATTGATTAAATCCGCTCATTTTCAGTTATTTGTCAAAACACTTATTTTCCAAACTAAAATATTCACAATTAATAAATTTGAATAGAAGCATATGGCATTCAAAGACTTATTTTCTCCCTAATTTTCAAGACCTGCGACTTGGACAAGATTTTGTGCACGAGAGCATATAATTATTTACGAATTTATCAAACCACTAATAAATCCCAAGAGTGCCGTACGAGTGGCTCGTTTCGCATTGCAAATTGGCTAAATTTCAGCTCGATCTTCCTTTGAAATTTGGACTTGTAACAGCTCGTTAGTGGTTTATGTTCTGGTGACAACTTCTCTGATAATGATGGACGGGGACAATGAGTAACTAATGAATGGATGAGTTGCAAATTGGCACATTCTTACTTTCATGAAACTGCTTGAGGTCGACTGCCCAATTAGATCACCTCTCCTCGGTCCTCACAGGATTTACA